TTTTTTTATTTAATAATAAAATCTCTCTCGTATAAATGATAAAGAATATATATATAAATAAGGATGAGATTAGAAATTTTTTTCGTCGCGGCCACGACTCCGGGAGAGTATCTCATCACCTCTCCCATCTACGTCGCGTGGCGGCCGCGACGAGCGAGTAAATCGATAATTGTTCGGATTATATAGATGTATTTATAATATATATCGCTATAAACGATATACATCATTAACACGTTAATGATCCTTCCGCAGGTTCCCCTACGGAAACCTTGTTACGACTTTTACTTCCTCTAAATGATCAAGTTTGGTCAACTTCCCAGCGACGCCGACGGCCGATAGAGCCACCGCGTGTCGGTCCGAAGACCTCACTAAATCATTCAATCGGTAGTAGCGACGGGCGGTGTGTACAAAGGGCAGGGACGTAATCAACGCGAGCTTATGACTCGCGCTTACTAGGAATTCCTCGTTTATGGGGGATAATTGCAAACCCCAATCCCCAGCACGAAGGAGTTTCAGAGGGTTGCCCGGGCCTCTAGGCCAGGGAGAACATGCTGATTCCTTCAGTGTAGCGCGCGTGCGGCCCAGGACATCTAAGGGCATCACAGACCTGTTATTGCTCAATCTCGTGCGGCTCGAAGCCGCCGGTCCCTCTAAGAAGATTTTAATAACGCCGCCAGTGAGCCGCGCGACGCGAACGCCGCGCACACCGGAATGACGACGCCTATTTAGCAGGCTAGAGTCTCGTTCGTTACCGGAATTAACCAGACAAATCGCTCCACCAACTAAGAACGGCCATGCACCACCACCCACCGAATCAAGAAAGAGCTGTTAATCTGTCAATCCTTCCGGTGTCCGGGCCTGGTGAGATTTCCCGTGTTGAGTCAAATTAAGCCGCAGGCTCCACTCCTGGTGGTGCCCTTCCGTCAATTCCTTTAAGTTTCAGCTTTGCAACCATACTCCCCCCCCCCGGAGTCCAAAATCTTTGGTTTCCCGGAAGCTGCCCGCCGAGCCGTTGTGTTAACGTCGGCGGATCGCTAGACGACATATTTACGGTTAGAACTAGGGCGGTATCTAATCGCCTTCGAACCTCTAACTTTCGTTCTTGATTGATGAAAACACCTTTGGCAAATGCTTTCGCTGATGTTCGTCTTGCGACGATCCAAGAATTTCACCTCTAACGTCGCAATACGAATGCCCCCAGTTATCCCTATTAATCATTACCTCGGAGTTCTGAAAACCAACAAAATAGAACCGAGATCATATTCCATTATTCCATGCACGAAATATTCAAGCAGCGTTCATAGCCCGCTTTGAGCACTCTAATTTGTTCAAAGTAAAATTGTCGGCCCATCTCGTCACTCGTTTAAGAGCAACGCGATAGGATTTTGAAGATTGAACCGCCGAGTACCGATACGAGACCGGCCCCGGAACGGTTCACCGACGATATGCTCCGCAGGCGTGTCAGTTGCACCGCGGGTGCGGTGCACCGACAGCGCGGCGCACAAATGCAACTACGAGCTTTTTTAACCGCAACAATTTTAGTATACGCTATTGGAGCTGGAATTACCGCGGCTGCTGGCACCAGACTTGCCCTCCAATTGTTCCTCGTTAAAATATTTAAAGTGTACTCATTCCGATTACGAGGCCTCGTAAGAGTCCCGTATCGTTATTTTTCGTCACTACCTCCCCGTGCCGGGAGTGGGTAATTTGCGCGCCTGCTGCCTTCCTTGGATGTGGTAGCCGTTTCTCAGGCTCCCTCTCCGGAATCGAACCCTGATTCCCCGTTACCCGTGACAACCATGGTAGTCGCAGAAACTACCATCGAAAGTTGATAAGGCAGACATTTGAAAGATGCGTCGCCGGTACTGGACCGTGCGATCGGCGAAAGTTATCCAGATTCATCAAAATGAACGACATCGGACGCGAGGCCCTCCGTCGATTGGTTTTGATCTAATAAAAGCACTCATTCCATCACTGGTCAGAGTTCCGATTGCATGTATTAGCTCTAGAATTACCACAGTTATCCAAGTAACCTGTGTAAGATCTAAGGAACCAAAACTGATATATTGAGCCATTCGCGGTATCGCCTTAATACGGCTTGCACTGAGACATGCATGGCTTAGTCTTTGAGACAAGCATATAACTACTGGCAGGATCAACCAGGGAGCTATCGCACGCTAACACGAAACCGCCGCGCCGTCCCCCAAAAGGACGGCGGCGAACGTTCTCATACGAGCGGTGCGTTGACTGCTCTCTTTATATAATTTTCATCTCCTGTCGGAGAATCGGACGACGATCAGAGACCGCGTCCAAAATTTGATATTTCACCGAAACAATCGCGTATTTATTGAAAATAACGCATATTGTATATTATTATATGATACTTTGTCCAGTCGTCTTATAGGGATTCATTCGAATCCCGTTCAACGTCGGCATTATAGAGTTGGTCACGATAATATTTTTCGTTGGACATCGTCTCGCAATACGAAAGCGCAAACGACAACAGTTATAGTCCGTCCGTATTATAGACAAACTTAAAAGTTGTATCTGTTCGCACTAATATACTCGAACGATGTTCATGAAAAGTATAATATTCTATATATTAATACTTTGTAAATTTAAAGCGTCGATATAAAAAGTTTTAAACGGCACAACTGATACCGTCGACGCACACCGTGCAAGCGGCACACGGAACGCCGGCGGGCCGTACAGTGACTCGCCGCGCTGCCGTGTGCTCACATATAGCTGAACTAGCCGGGTGAAAGCGACGATCCATACAAACTCTGACGAAAATATTGAAATTTTGATAGCCGCCTCGCATCTCGCCCGATGGTCGTGTATCGTGATATTATCGATCCGCGAATCGAAATAAAGTATTTTTTATATTGCGCCCCCGCCCTCCTGGCCGCCCCTGCCCCCGCGCCCCGTAACTTCGGGCAATTTTTTTATTTTATTACATTCAATCGTTAGTTCTATTTAAAATGTAATAAGTAATAATAGTGATTACATATACCATTACGTTCTTATTATTATCATTATAATAATAATAATAATAGTAATAATAATAATAATAATGATGATGATGACGATTATTAATATATATATATATATATATATATATATATAAACCGGTCAAGTGCGAGTCCGGACTCGTACGTGAAGGGTTCCGTACCTCGATTAAATGTTTTGAAAGTAGCCTAAGTCTCACTAATAGGGTAAAAATAATGTATTTAAATTATAAATAATTTATATTTTTCATTCAACGACAAAAAGCACATTAGAGAAATAATATATAATGATATTTTATAATGTTCGAATAGTTTTTTTTTTTGTTTTCTCTTTTCCTTTTTTACTGTATTATCTAATATATAATAGGGGGTTGGGGAAATGAAATGAAACTATAGTCAGGTATCCTATTATATTTTAACGACAAAAATAATGCTAAATGCATAATGACTGTCCTGACGACGGATCGCGTCCTCGTAGACGGTAAAACGATGCCGCAGTACGTACCGGTTTCCGCGCACGTTGGAACTCTTCTTCGACTAAGAACGGCCCAGACTTGAGACTTGGCGTACGGCCGTCGCTTATCATCGTTCGGCTGGCCGTAGAACTAAACACGATGTTGCGGTGAAAGTTTCTATTTCTATAAACAAATATTATCTATAAATAAAATGAAAAAATATACAATAGACGATGATACTCTTAAAACTATACAATAAACAAATGATAGTCGAAGATAGTTGAAACCTGACGATAAATTGTCAGTCAGACTTCGGCATCATCGGCTCTCGTCATAGACGGACGCTTGTCGAACTCACTTATCCTGTCTTATCTCTATCTATAATATTTTCCTATTTAAAATCAGTTATTTTAGATAGAACATCTCATCGATACTCGGTCCCTCCTTGTCTCGCAACGGGACCCTGCCGTAAGACCGACCGCTACCCACCTCCTGTTAGAGCGGGAAGCAGATAGCTGCCGGTGGCTTACGGCGGACGGACGCTGCCCGTTGGCTGCATTATGCGGGAAATCGGTGTGTCCGACGTGTTTGACAGCGCCCACGGGCGTAGACTATGTAGACTCCGCCTTCGGTCGCGCCTCTCCCGGTTGAGGTGAAGGCGGTATATACGCTGCACGCACCGATCTGCAAGTGAACATTGACTTATTAATATGTATACCTAATAATAGTTCGGTAACGTGAGCAACAATTAAAATTGTATAGATATTGCGTTCTGTGACGTAGGTTAAGTGGCTCATACCGCATAAGTAAGTTACCGTCTAAATAATACAAAACGATTTAACATTTATTGTAAACTAAATAGAATAAACTACCTATAGCTAGGTATAGTTTTTTATGGGCGCATATATATACACACGTCTTTCTGCTTGATTTTTCCACTGTTCTAGTTCCAGTCGCCTCCGGGCGTTTTATTTTATCGTTTTTGTAATTATTATTTAAATAAATCATAATGAATTCAATTCAATTTAATTAAATGAATCAAATTTTATTGCAGGTGTTCGATCCGTTTTTTTTTGCAAATTTTGCACACTGTTTATACCGTTATTATTTTTGGAGTATTATTACATTATAAAGTTCAGATGACAGACAGTTCGAAGAAATATTTGAACAATTTACCGACCGTCGATCATGTCGACGTTGTTTCAAAATTAAAATAGTCAGATGGCAACATTATCTAATAATAATAATAATTCATTTATAAAAAACAAAAGCAATAATAATTTTTTTAGTGTTGTCGATGCCGGTGGAGCAAGCAATTCATTTCACATCTATGAAATTATAAAAAAAATATGTGGAGTGATTGTGAGATTTTTTTCTTTTCTAAAAAGGAAGGCGAACGTCTTAACAACTTGAGTGCCCATAACGCCTCGGGGCGTGAGACGAGACGAAGAGAGGATGCCCATCACGCCTCTGCGCGTGATGGGTTAGTACAGCATTCTATGCGCCAGTGTGCCGTGGGCCTATGTCGGAGAGCGTT